CGAAAGGGGTTGATTAGATGGCAAAGAGATTTGAAGAAACTTCATGTTCGGCACAAGGAGGCGATTGAGCCAAAACCCCCCCAAGTGACCATAGTATGTTGGAAGTCCGGCAAAAGACTTTAAACTTAGCGCTTCTTGGGAGGCAACCCAAGGTGAAGAGAAGAAATTTGTTGTCGTCCTAATCATTTCAAAAGGGAGTTTCTTTAGACTCAAACTTGCTTTAATCTTTTTATTTATTTATGTATTTTATGTATTTCTTCAAGTCTTAAAATAAAAAAAAATAAAAAATAAAAAAAAAGAGTTGAACGACCAGTCGCATGCACTCAGCGACCAGTCGCATGCACTTAGCGACCGGTCGCTCTTCATTTTCTAGGAAAATTTGAATATGTGTGAAAACGACCAGTCGTTTGGCCAAAGCGACCGGTCGTTCGTTAAATATATTTTTTTTTAAAAGGAAGTAAAAAGATATTAAATGTCAAGAACTAACTCAAAATATTAGGTGAATAACATGATAAATCATGTGTAAAAATGAACCGAAGAAACTTCCCAAACTTATCTTTTGCTAGTCCTTGAGCAAAACATAAACTAAAACAAGACTCGAAACAAATCTTTCCGAACACTTTCCAAAGAGAGAGCGACTCATGCAAACGACTCAAAAGTTTTCACAAGAAAAGCTCAGTTTAAAATCATTCACAAGGCAGCAAAGTTCAGAACACAACATGCTCAAAGTGTAGTAGTGTGATGGCCAAATTCAACTCATTCTCCAATTTTAGTTTTCACACAACTTTGAAAATCATACCAAGCACAAATTTAACTTCAAATCTCACCAAAGTTGTCCTCTCACAAATGAATCACTCGGAAGAGGGTTACAATGCATCACTCAATAATAAATATGAGAATAGAGTTAAACCATAAGAGACTTAACTCACAATAGAATGATGAAAAAACATGCATGACTATGATCTCAGGAAGGATGCCAAACACTTAAAAGTTGAAAAATGTGTGCAAATCAACCACATGACATTTAGAATCAATTTAGGTCTTTACTATAGGTTGTAATGGGGCTAAGGGTGTAAGGTGAGTAAGAAATGAAGAATACGGATACAACAAAGTCCAAGGAACTCACAATGTAAGAGCATATAACAGTTGATTACAAGACTTTGAATCCTCACGCTTAAGATTTTATATATTTTTTTACTTGATCAATTAGACCACAAAGCCTTATACCTCCACATATTTTGATTCACACTCCTTTCTTCTATTTGAACAACCATCAATTTATTTATTTTTTAGGCCAATAAAGAAACTTGGAATTGAAATTTGAATCCAATGTCACTTAACCACAACTTTTCTCTTTTCTTTCACCCTTTGAGTGAAGTTCTCTTTTTTTTTTCGATATGTAACATCCCTTCCCAAACTTAGCATGAAAAACACATCCAAATTAAAGCTCATGAGTTCCTTAGAAAGGTACATTCTTGTTTTTCAGGCTAAGGCTAGGAATAATAATTGGTTAAATGAAAGAAAAGGCTTACATGCAGGCTCAAAGTGGTTACAATGGAAAATCATGCTTAAGCATGCATACGGTTAGCTTGAAAGGCACAAATGGTCCAAAGAGGGCCTTAATATCATTTCTCAAATGTCATGTAATCAAATTGCACAAGAATGAATGTCTTTTCAGTGCTCAACCAAGTCAATGAATAATGAGATCAAACAACAACTAGGATGACAAGAAAATAAGAATATGTGTATAACACTCATGAATTGAAGCACAAGGCTCAAAGCTCACATTATATGGTTATACAAGTCTAATTCATGCTTGATACAATTCTTTGGATCATGCAAGTCCCTCAACTGGAGAATTATGAAACAAATGGCAAGTGCATAGAGGGTTTCAAACATATCATGCTAGAACGATTCCATTTAGTGAATAATAATTTATTTTATTTTTTTAAACATTTGCAATCAAGTCATGTAAACATTCATCACAATCTCATCATATATGTTCGGAAAGTTACTTGAAAACCAAATGACTCAAAACTGAAAAGAAAACAAAATAAAAGAAAGCAAGAATTTAAATGAAACGAAAAAGACTTGATATCCCTTTCCAAACTTAGAAATAAACATTGTCCTCAATGTTGAAGAATTTAGGCATCAACAACGTTATAACAAGAAATAAAAGGGATTAAAGCAATTAAATAAAAGAACAAACAAGAATTAAAACTACAATACGATTGCAAAAACAAAGCAAAACAAAACACAACAAAACCAAACAAAACGGTAAGCCCTAACAACAGTCCTACGCACGCAAAA